CAAATCGGCAACGATGACGGCTCCGGGATTGTCACTAGCATGCAGAAAGTACGGCGACATAGGATCATCCGTCGGGTGAGTCATAGTGTCGTCTCAAGTGAGAACAGATCGGATTTGCACAGTGTAAAGAATCGATGCAAGTAAATCCAAACTAATCGGAGCAGATCCGTAAGAAAGTAGCAGGTCTACACAGATTAGGATGAAATAAACCTCGAATCGAAGGAATCGAAGCAAAAAATCGTACGAAATCGAACGAAAAAAAACGTAAAGTAGCAACGGAAAATCAAGCGGATCGAGAGTAGATCCCGAAAACTGATACCATAATAGAATAGAAAAGTAGTAAAAACAACATCAAATCTTCATTAAAGCTTGAGGAACGATTTACAGAGGAGATAAATGGAAGGGAAAGCTTCGGTTTCTTGAGAGAGAGAACCGAGAAAATGAAAAGACAAAAAGTGAACAGAAAACCCTAATGCTATCCTATTTATACAAAGGGCTGAAACATAATGCAACCAAAAACAATGCTAAGGCATAAAATGCTAATCTTCAGGCCCAAGATACAAATAATGTTATGGCCCAATACAAGCTATATTCTAATAATTTTTCTTTTTTAACTCTAATAACGATTTAACAAAATTTGAGGTATCATATGATGAAATTAAACATGTTGTTGGATAGATCAAATCAAGAGCTTCAATATGGTATATAATTTGTTGAGATTTACTAATGGTAGACGATATGATGAACGACAGTTAATGGTGGTGGCCGTAATGGCGGGTGGCGACAAGATGGACATATATTCAATTTTAATATTTTTTGCAATTTAATTGACTTTATTTTTTGTCATTTTAATTATATACATGAGCTCTAAATTAAATATAATATAATTTTTTAATTAACAAAATAATTTTATTTCAAATCCAAGTAAGGATATATAATATATATTTTTCATTTATGAGGTGTAAATGTATGTACGAGTGAGTCAAGATATTCTTTTACATATTAAAAAAAATAAGATTCAAATTGAAATTTTGATCAATATAATGGTGAGACCAACCTACCTTAATATAAAAGGTCTCTAGTTTGATAACTAGTATTACATCACTTTGATTAGTTTTTCTTACACGCTGCAAGTTTTTCATCAAATAACGACCCATAAAATTTTTGTTAAAGTTACCCAAAATTGCATGAGCTGCCGAAACAAAGATAGAAAAAAAAACATGAAAATTTGAAATTTTGGGGGTGTATTTAATTAGGATTTCTATAGAATTTTTAAAACTTTAGAAATCCTGATGTATTGAATATAAACTAGTACAATGCCCGTGTATTACACGGGTGTTTGCTAATTTTTTCTTAAAATCTAAAATTAATGAGAAAAAGTAATTGAAAATTTCAATACCTTTTATAAAAATATATATTGATAACACTGTTGTGCCCCGACCCGATTCTCCTCCTCTCCTTGCCTGGTTCGATCTATCCTGGACCTGCAATGACGCCGGGAGGTGTTCCCGGCGGTAAACCTCCGACGCTCAAGTTAATAAGGAGTAGAGGAAAATTATCGGTAGCTGTAAGTAGTATTAGGATTTTTTTTGTGTGATGTCCCTTACCTCTTCCTCTGTTTACCTATTTATACCAGATAATTGGTTTGCTCAACACGCCTGTGTCCCTCTTCGTTGGATCATTCGTCTCCTTTTGATCCTGTCACTCCACGTGTCCTTCATATGTTACTAGTCATATGACCAAATCATCCTTATCTGCCCAATAATTGGGCCAAGCCCATTTAGTGCCAAATTACTCTCATCTGCTCGGTCAAGCTGCTTCCGTCCCCACACCGCGCATATAACCAAACTGTTGGTACAACTAACCCACTACTGCGGCTGACTCTCATTCACCTATCCTTAGTTATGTTGGCCGAATAGGTAGCGACCTTTCTGCCCTAAAGACCGAGCTATTGGATCGAACCCTAAATGAACCCCCCCGGTCCACATACCGAGCAGATTTACGTCGGTCCGCCCAGTTACTCTCATATGTCATATCACTATGCGTAGTTATGTTGGTCGAATAGGTAGCGACCTTTCCGCCCTAAAGACCGAGCTATTGGATCGAACCCTAAATGAACCCCCCCGGT